CCATGCCTGTGGTTTCAAGGCATTGGATCAGCAAATATGCAGGTAATATAAGATTAGAGTTGGATAGGAAACCAAACAGACCTGGGGACCTCAGAGGACCTGGTCTTTTGCCTCAGCTTGAGCTAACAGGATTCGTTATTCTGGAGTATCACATGAGTCTGGAGCTACTTCACAAGACTCTGGACTGAAAAGCAGGGTGTGGGTTGTGGACCTCACCCCTCACCTGTGTCGCAGAATCACAGAATCAATTGGGTTGGAAAAGACCTCTGAGATCATCGAGTCCAACCTATAACCTAGCACCACTTTGTCAACTAGACCATGACACTAAGTGCCACATCCAGTCTTTGCTTAAACACTCCCAGAGACGGTAACTCCAGCACCTTCCTTGGGAACCCATTCCAATGCCCAGTCACTCTTTCTGTGAAGAACTCTTCACCTCGGACTTCACTGCTGCTCCCTTAACGCCACCATTTTCCGTGTCCTAACTCTCCAGGGTAAAACGTAGCAGAAAGTAGAAGCCGGGGCGCTGAGGACGACGGCGGGGGAGCTCGGGGGCAGTGGGAGCCCGGCAGCCTCTCCCCGCCATGGGCCAGTGCGAGGCCGTGCTTCTCACGCAGCATCCCCGGGGGGGCTCCGCGAGCGCGGAAAGGCAAACAGGACGAGCGCTTCCGCATCTCCCCCTGGGGCTCATCCCGCGGCGGAGGGGCTCGTCCCGTGTTCCTGCGTGGGTGCCCTGAGGGAGATGCTCGCCGCCGCGCCCGCCGCTAAGGCAGCCAGGAGCATGGGTGTGATGGTGTTTGTGATGATAGGGGCAGACCCCTGGAAGGTGCAAAGCCCGCCAGGGCCAAAAACCTCGGGCACGGTCCGCGGGCCGGGACTGGCATCCTGCAGAGCATCTCTAGGGGCCGTGCAAGCTTTGCAGCCTCGACGGGGCGACAGACTGCTCCCGATTTCCGGCCCCGTTCCGGCCCCGAGAGTCCTCGAGGGGAAACGTGTCAGTTGGAAGGGATGGGCTTCCGCGGGCCAGGCACTCTTCTTGCCCTAGAGAAGCAGTCTCTGTGGTTTCTCGGTTGTGCTGAGGGGCTCCCAGGCCCAAAGAGGAGATCTTTACCGCCTTCCCGAGCCAGGGTCGGGCTCCATCCCTCGATGAAGCCTCGGTTTACTGGGCCGGGGCGTGTACAGCGCCGAGCACTCCAGCACAGGCAGGGCCAGGCGTGCTCCGGGTCCCCTCGATGCAGGGTGCGCGCCCTCTCATTCTCCCGGCGAGGGGCATTGCATGGTCCCGCGGAGTGTCGAAAGTGGGTGCCGGTGGACCAGACTCTGCATGCAGCCCTGCCCTGGCCCCATGTCCCGCCCGTTTTCTGGACCTTTAGCACCTCCTGGTCCCCGTGAAGGTGGCTGCCAGCTGGACTTGTCGTGTGGTCATTGACTCTGAAGGGAAGGCAACGTGCCTCTTGGCGTGCCGTTCGTTTCCCTCTCCCCCCCCCCCCCCCGGGTCTCCCCCATACTTGTTCTTGTCCTCAGCGAATTGAAATAACGAAGAGTCAAACGCTGGTCATACATTTTCTTTGCTGGAGAGTGGTTCGGAGAGGTATCGTTCCGCCACCGCTTCCGGCGAGCAGGAGGGGGCCAGGTGAGACATCCGTGCTGGACAAATATTGAAAGAAGGGCTTTTGCGACACAGGCGGTGCTGGCCCACGTGCGATGCTGTGGCCCAGGCTCCGCTGTTACCGGTTCCTGGTTTTTGCAAGTTTCCTTTCGTAACGTCTTAGGCAACTCGAGAGTTGCCAAAGAGGAGAGAGGAGCCTTTCCCGCGCCTCAGGCGGTTCCTTCGAGGACGGTCGGTACTCATTTCTCACATGTACCAAACTGGAATCGTTCATCTTTAAAGCCGCCACTGCCGCAGGGGCGAGGGCTGAGTTCGGCACAGACTGGGAATCGCTTCTGCCGGGTGTCGCATCAAGCGGCGAGGAGGCGGGGAGCGATGTTTCATTGCCTGCGCACCCCAGCAGGCAGAGCACCAGCCGTGCCCGGCTCAGGGTTCTCCCTGCACGAGACCAGTCCCACGCATTGCTTACCTCCCCTGAGGCACTGCTCACAAATTTTCCACACCGGGTCTGAACAGTTTCAAGACAAGCTCCGAGCCCCCAGCGGTTTGGAAACAGTGGGTTCCCAAAATATCCTCCTGCTTCCCTTTGCACTCCCATCGCACTCCGATTGCTGGGAGCTGCCGGGCCGGCCGCGAAAGTCCCATCGGTCGTGACGGAGCTGCCTTACAGGGACGGACAGACCTCACAGACTGACTTCCCAGACCACCTGCCTGAGTTTTGTGGCCCAGTGGTGTCGTGCCGCCTCCAGTGTGACATTGGCAGCCCAGTGCTGTAGGGCTCGCCTCGGCTGTGCGGTACCGTCGTGCGCCAAAGCAAAACGGGCACAGCTAACCCTGGGGAAGGGGGGAAGATTCTGGTGTGGTAAATGGGCTGGGCTCCCCCAGCGTCTCTGGGCACGCATTGTGCTTGAATCAACAGGAGAGATCCTCTTCTCCTTCTTACCCCCAAAGCCTTCAGATACTGCCGTCGGGGAGGTGCTTCACCACCGCGTTGACGAGAGGTGCCCCTGGAGCCTGTCACGCTCTCGGGGACTGGGACAGACCGTGGTCAAAACGCCGCGCTTGAGAGAAGGCTGATGGCAGAGGTTTTGCGGAAAAGAGCTTGTTTTGGGGTTTTGCTCCTCCTCAGGATCTGGCGGCACTTAGCCTGTCTGACCTGGGCAAAATGCTGCAAGATGGGCTATGAGTCAGCGCAGGAGTGTGTGTGTGTGTGTATGTGTGTGTGAGCCTGTGTGTCTCGAGTGGGTGCAGCGATATCAGCAGTCACTCGACAGGGTTTGATCATCAGCTTTCAACTGCCCGACTCCAGCCAGAGTGTGGCAGGAGCAAGGACTCGCCACCCCATAGGTGATGACTCCTTGGGCATGCAAGAGAGGGAACAGAGCCAGCTCCGTGGCCCGGAAATTCCCCCGAAATCACCTCAGTGTTGCTAGGGTTTTGTTTTCTTATTTTTCCGTGTGTTTCGCGGTAGGAATTACATGGATCCGAGAGGGATGCACGGTATAGGTTAGATGTATACTTGTGTTTCTGGCTGTGGTGCTCCAACCGTAGCATTCATTCCCCGCCTGCACTCATGCCAGGCAGGGTGGGAAGGAGCCGGCCCATTTGCTTTTGGAAAAGGAGATTCTCCAGCCGCAGGCGCGGCCCGGCCACAGTGGAGAAGGACAGGGCTCGCGTTCAGGTGTATATCAGGGGGACAAGAGGACCGCGGGCAGGGGCACAGGGACGTCACCTCGGCAGCGCAGCACAACTGTGGGACCAGCTGTGGATGAGCTGGCGGCTCCCGGGGGCCATGGGGATGCAGGGGTGGTCGTGGGTCGTGGGCTTCCCCGGACTACGAGGCACCTCCACCCCTCCTAGCAGCCTCAAGGGCTGGGCACGGCATGTCCCTGCCCTGCCAGCAGCGCCTCACGTCCGGCTACCGTGGAGTCGCCAAGCATTTGCCCTCCCAACCCTGAAAGCGCAAAGGAGGGACAGGGATGCTCGCGTTGTAAGGGGGCAGCGCGGTCCTCCCGGGAAGCCCCGGGCCGGGGAAGGGGAAGCATCGCTGCTCCCTGCGGTGCTGAAGCTCTGTTTGCTCTCTCAGATGGGTCTTTCGTCTCGGTGGGACAGGGCTATTCGGGAGGAGCGATCCGAGGGCGAGGGATGACTGCCAATCTACGGCTGGGGACGCCGAGGGGCCTTCTGGCCGTCGTGCTCCGTGCCACTCGGAGCGGTCCCCACCAAGCGCCGGTGGGCAGCGAGCTGGGCGGGAGCCAGCCGTGTGCCCCGGCCGCATGGCATGTCAGCAGCAGCTCTGAGCGGCATAAACACGTTCACAGCCCAGGAGACCGAGGGAAGGGATTATTCCCCTCACTCGACGCTCGTGAGACCGTATCTAAGAACTGCGGGCGGCTTTGGGACAGCCACTGCAACAAACAGCCGTGAGAGGTGAAGGGCCGACGAGGCAGAGGAAGCTGGAGCAGCTGCCCGGGGCGGGAAGGCTGAAGGAACAGGACTGGCTCAGCCTGGGGCAGAGGCGGTGTCGGAGGTATCCCGCAGCACTGAGGGCATGGGCATACAGAAGCCTGGCTCTTGACAGAGGTGCGTGGTGCGAAGTTGAGGAACGATGGGCATGAATGGAAACAGGAGTCCGGATGCCGAGGTCCCTGGTCCCGCTCGCCGGCTGGACGTGAACGGGGAGCCTCATCGCCGTTGCATGGTCCCTCTATGGACCACTCTCTCAGTTTACCCGTTCCGGGACGGGTGGCAGCGGTTCCCCGGCCACGCGTGGTCGCATTCCTGGCTTCGCGCAGAAGTCTCCACCTTCCCTTCTCGTTTTTTCGCGTGGTCCGTCTGCAAGCGGGACTTTCTAAGTTGTTCTTGCAAAGCTCTTTGTTCCCTCCCATGACTCACGCGTTTCCCTGCCGTTATCACGGCGATGTCAGTGCCTTTGAAGTCGAGTCATTTATTACTTTCCCGGAGCTGGCCCTGTCTTGCTCTGCTGATAGAGCCGGGTATGCTTCCACTCAGAGTTTGATCTCTGCCCGCGCTGGTGGCACACTGGAAAGTCACTTTCGATAAACCTCGACAGACTCTGCCGGACAAACTATTGCAGCGCTAATGACAGAGATAATCCTCTCCTAATCTGCGAGTAATCCATTTCACCCCAGTGAGAATTTTTAAGGCTTTAATCAGTGAGAGTCAGTTAGGGAATTATTAACAGAGCCTCCGCCGAGCAAGCTTGTCCGGAGAGGGCAGTGGGAGAGGGAAAAGGAAAAACGCAACAGGGCCCAATGAGGTCAAAATCGATGCATGGCCGGGCGCAAGAGCTGACGTGATGTATTTTGATGTTACGATAGAATTGCCTTCAGTTCGAACGCCGCGAAAACCCCCGCGCCATCGATCCCCCCTATGCCCGCTCCGACTGGCGGTCCCGGGGGAGCGGGGAAAGCGCTGTGGGTGAGATGGGCGGGGGTGGTGCCTCCCGGTGCCGCGAGGGAGCGAGGCTTTGCCCGTCACGGCCAAGGTGCGCCTTTCGGCAGGCGGGTCCCGAGCAGAGGTGCCGAGGCGGACCGCGGCTGCTCTCGCCCGACGTGCGGGGAGCGGCGGTCGCAGCGGCCGCGGCGGGGCCGGGCGGGGGCTCTGCCGGGGCTCTGCCGCTCCCCCCGCGCGGTGCCGGTGCCGGCGCCGCCCCCCGGCCCTCGGGGGCTCCGCGGGGTCCCCCCGGCGGGGGGCGCGGCCCCCCCGGCGCGCGCTGAT